AACTGCAGAAAAATTCGATCTATCCTCTCCATACTGCGGTAAATTACCACATATGGTGGTAGTGACTTTGAATAGCGAATTGTGAGGACCCTCTAATGCCGCCCACCATTGCTCAAGTTGATCATAGAATGGCCCTGCTGGGATCTTTGGTAGTCCAGTAATGGAGTAGGACAGAGAGCATAGCACAAATAATTCAGCACTAATTGCATACACTTTCCTGGCGAAGTATTGAGCATGACGTCTGACGCATCGCCGTGATGAAGATCGCTTCTCCAGCGAGTCCGCAGTTTCTGTATACAATTCCAGCCAAGTATTTACTTGCTTCGCCTGGCCTTCGGATAGAGGATCCAGTATCTTGTGGATCTGATCTTCAAGGCGAGGTTTTATTTGGGTGTCGAACAAGCTGGATGGGTGGCTCATTTTGCTTGACATAACAAATAGGGAAAGTAGGGAGGGAGGGAAGGGAAAGGGAAGGGAAGGGAAGGGAAGGGAAGGGAAGGGAAGAAAGAAAATGGAGCTAGCGTCGGGTAATACTTTACCCGAAACATGGAATGCAGCAAGGTTACCTATGGTTAGTATCTGACCTTGTAGCGATTTCAAACGTACAAGGGGCACGGTCAGGAGATCAATTGGCTCGATGTGGAAGCGGCTCGATGACAAGCTGCCCTCCCCTATGGATTGCAGGCTATGCTCGGTGATGACTCATAGGTAGAGCCGCCAACAGGTCGAATATAAAAGCAGCACTCAATTTGAAGGCGAGATGCTGCAAGCTCATTTCCAGTTTTCTGGTAGGAACAATCCCCTGCAACCCACTTCCCAGTTTGAAAACAGAACAAAAGTACGTGTACCTCAGCTTATGTACTTTGGCGCTCACATAAAGGCTAAACTGGACCGCCATTAAGAAATGTCAGCTAGCTCAGGACTGAAAGGGTTTTGCGATATATGCAGCCATGCGAACAATGAACATCGACAATATAAATGCAATGCATGTAACCAGCCAAAAAAATGGAAGATTTGCCAACAACCTTCCCATGGAGGCTATGTGGTGTGTGTCAAGTGTGAGACCTGTGCGCCAGGAGGTGGCCCACCAGGCTCCCAGCCTGATGGCCATATGAAATATCTATGTGACGAAGTCGTATCCTAGTAAGTAGTATGCTCGCGGCTAATTAGTGATCAGAATAACTGATATAAAGTGGGGCAGACGGACCAAGCTCGCACACCCGCGAGCAAGACGTAAGCACCTTAAGGACAATCTGTGGAGTATAAAGTTGTGGTTCTTGGGAGAAGATACGTATTGATGGAGTTGAAATATACAATACGCACAAAGATCGTTAGAAAGTAACTAGAAAATGAAACTCCCCATCTGCACCCGATGTTCCGCGCGCCTGTACTTTCGTAAGAAGCCAATCAAATGTCTGTGGGAGTCGGTGCATAGTAACGGACTATATATAATCCGTGAACGGCATGGTTATATAAGCGGCGGTTCTCGCATCGTGAGGTCTGTCTTGAAGATAAAAGTAAAAGCTGGTTACCTGTAACAGAACTTCAGGAAAGAGCAAGTCTTTGCGAAGATGGTTTCCCGAGAAATGACTAAGTATATACCACTTTCGATCTAGGCGCGGACTTTCAAGCTGATTAGTAGAAGGACCCAGAGGAGTCGCGATCACCTCCAGCCGAGTCAAGATGAGCTTAACGCCGCGTTGCATGAGGCTCGTTATTACTGGCATGGCCTTGCGCAGCAAGCTGTCACCCAATACAGGCATGGCCCTCCTTCCCAATGTTTTCGGCCTGAAAATATGCTCGGATATGTCCCGGCGATGCCGGATATTCATATGAACCATCGCCATGAGGCCTTTGATAAGTTTACGTCAAACGGGGTACTGTACATCAGAGCAGAGGGTGTGTGGGTTGTTTCAGATGGCGGTGAGTGCGGCATTGGCGGAAAGCAGAAGATACGAGCCGCATCTCTCCCGATAGGAGTTCGACGGCCCACGCCTGTTTGCTTCAAGAATGCTGCCTTTCACAAAGGGGCCGGAGTGGGAGGAGCTCATGAGGTTAATATCATCGGAACACTCGCCTTGGGATGGTCATACATATTTTCGGCAGCATTAATCGAGAGGCAGGGATCAGGATTGTCCAGCTTAGACTATACCGATTCTATTGCGGAAATGTGCTATGGGAAGGCAGAAGTGATCGGTAACATGATTGATGTTGGCTGTGTAAGTGCGCAGGCAGCACGGTGGTGGGGATCGATTCTAGCACCTGGGCAAGGTTGGAAGGCTACAGTGTTACAGAGTGACAGTGCCTGCTACATCTCACCCTGGTCTGTGGCGCTCGAGCACGACGAAGCCTTCAAGGTCAGAGTGAGTGATTTACCAACGAATTCAACAATGAAATCCCTAAGTCCTCCATCCTCCCAACAAGCATTGGAGTTTCTTATCGACCTTTGTGCGCTTCACGGTTCCCATAGCCAACTCTTTGTCGCTCTCGCAACTGCTATGACATTCCCAGCACACAACTACTATGGAACGCCATCCAGGTTGCCTAGCGTACGTGGATCGAATACTCTCAAATCTCCTCAAGTCATAGCGGATGCTAAAGAGCTTTCTGCCCAAATCCCTTACTATATGACGATGAGTTGTGCCCACAGCGTGACTGTTTCGAGTCTCTGCAGTGTATTTTGGGAACCCGAAGTATGCTGTAATTTGGTCAGTCCATGGCTTCATCCTGTGCTCAAAGAAATACCCAATAATTATTCCGGTTCTCTCTCCTTAGATGAGATTATCCCTTTACTTTGTGCCCTACGATGTCCAAATCTTGCAGCTCTCTGGCTTGGAGCCACCCTTAGTGGGCTTTCTTCCACCGTCGTTGAGCTTGTTGGTAGCGGAACCCCTCCTCTGGACACAAACGGTGCGCCATGGACTGGTAACCCACAGTCTTTCATGGATGTTCCGGGTTCAGGCCCATATATTCAATTTGACTCCTTGCAGGATAAGCTCTTTAGGTCGGACGCCTGGCGCCTTCTTTACCTACCGGCCGCTGTCGAGGATGACTTGCAATATAATAGCCCGCCATTTTCACCATGGCAACCTGTCGGCATGACCGACTTCGAATATACAGCGATTAGAGTAAAAGCCCATAGAGATTGTCCCCGTCACGAGTTAGTTTACCATCACTGGTCATGGCGCCTGAAGAATGGTTCGGGGTTAGAAGGACGCGGCTATTGTTCTGACGCCATCCCTCGTCACTCTCATAAAATAGATTCTCGCATTACGGCTATGGACCACCAAACGCTTTCCCTGGCAGACCAGGAAGCATCCATGATGGCCTCACGAGAAGTCTTCGCGTGGGTTACTCGCAACTGTGAAGGACATCCTCCCGAGGAGATATACTCTGACCCATGGATACGTGATGATAGCGAAAGCGAAGCGTCAGAGTCTTGCACATCTTCTAAGAGTGCAAGATCCACTGGCGGGTTAACAGGGCCATCAAATATCCAAGCATGGATTATGAGAACAAATTCCTAACTATAGCCAACCAGGTTCCCGGTAAAAACGCAAGCTATCAACGCACGCGAGGTTGCGGTGCGATTTAAAGCGCGATGGAACATTTTACCACAGCAGGTTACACTAACGAATAGCCCATGATTGTATAATTTGCTCCGTCACTATTTATAAGGTGTGTCTCCCCTAAGGTGTATCCATAGATAGGTGATATAGAACGGGCTGGGTTGAACCACAAAAAGCACATGAGTGCTTTGGCGCATGCCAACGTGTGCACGGTTCAATAACAAAGTATATATAATCACCGCCTCCGTGAGAGCGACTTTGATAAAGCGTATACTGCACAATAAGTTGTAGCCTATGTTTACCTAGCGAAAAGAAAAGATTATGAAAATGCCGGGCATCCGGAAAATTTTCTTTTACCTGGCCTATGTTGGAAGTAACACACCTCGGAAACTCCCCCTATATGATCACAAGACATCGGCTATCAAGCGAAGGTGCCTATGGACAAAGATTCGAAGCAGAGCAATTAACTATTGGTACTAGATAAGGGGACAATATTTCCCTTAACGCGGCAACCTAACATGTCGGCGGCGTGTCCGCCTCCTTCCATTTGATGGACACCCGCCGACCCATCAGCCCTAGCTTTTGAGCGCTCATAACACATACAAGAGCCGAGCCAACCAGTAGTAATAGCTGCAAGTCTCTCCAGAATTAAGTTATTTGCCATTTGCAGTCGCTTATGTAGAAAGTGCGCTTCAGCCTCCTCATGTCTGGCTAAAAATAGCCCAAACTGGGCGCTTAGGACGAAATATTCTTGGCTAACAATAATTTTGAATCTGAGTCATTGAACCACCCACACAGCCCACGAAATGCTGATCTCGCCCGACTGAGTCCCTGGCTTCCTGGCTTTCTAGCTCTTTGGCTTTTTGGAGCCTCATGAAGAGGGAATATTCTATAATTTGGGTCATGGCATCACTATAGAATTATGCCCTGTATGTACCTAACCAGGGAGCCAGACGTCGCTCTACCCTTATTGGAAAAATCCAAGGAGACCAATACGTGATTATCTATTTCCTTCGATATATTTCCGATAAACCGACTCGTTACATACAAACTAACGGAATTCTATCTGATGCCAACATAATATCTACTATAAATGTAGATTGCTTTACAAAGTGAATGCTGAAATTATCAGTAGAGGTCATTTGATTTCGCCGACTATATAAAAGAGTTTACGATGAAAGCGCAGAGTTTATAGATAATTGTTAATGCGATATCGACAAGTTAACTAACTACTTTAGATTGGGATTTTGAACAGCAAGAGTAAAGAAAAAGTAAAGATAAGTATATTGTGTTATCTTGCGTCTTCTTTCTTTACAGACCACTCCTAACCACCATCTGTTATATTTAACCAGATCGCCGTATACGGAAGTAATATCATTGACTACTCTCGCTATCTAGATGTAATATTCTATATATAGATCTATTGACTAGTATTTACAAACAGGCTATATCTATATTCTCTGGCACTTCTTCTTTACACTATTCTAGCTAGTTTCTACTCTTTTTCTTCTATATAGCTTACCCCACTTAGAAATATCTTCTAGAGCTAGATTACTTGATTTATTTAATTTTAGTACTATATTAGAGGGTAAGTATTCTATTTATAGTTAAATATTTTCTTTTCTATATTTTAAATTATATTTATAATAGTTATATAATTTATTAATATATTTTATAATTATTTAATTTCTAATTTAAAAAATATATAGATAAATTTTTTACTTTTTAAAATAATAATATTATTATTATTATTTTTTATTATACTTCTATATAACTAAAAATTATAAAAAGTTCTATATTTAAATTAAATATAGAAAAGAGTAAAAAATAAAAATTTAATTTTCTAAAATTTTAAAATTTAGAAAAAATATAATTTAGTAGTAGTTTAATATAAATAAATTATTAATTTAATTAAATTTAATTAAACTTTTTTATAAAAATTTAATTAAAGTAATTATTTATTATTATTATTTATAATAATAAGTTTTGTAAAACTCAACCTCTATATTATAAACTAACTATTATAAAAGAAAGAGAGAAAGAAGAGAACCTCTTCTATAGCTTTACTAGAAAAAACTATAGAAATTAACTCTATAGTTATAGTAGAAGAGGGTAGTAAAGGTAGAGTAAAAACTCTATATTTATAGAAACTTCTCCTTAATAAAGAAAAAAAAATAGAAAAAATAATTAAAAAGATCTTTTTAACTAAATTTAAGCTTATTAAATATAGATATTATTATTTAGTAAATAAGAAAAATAAATATACTACTCTAGTAAAAATTTAATTTAGCTTTATTATACTTTATAATAAAATACTATAAGATACTAAAAAAATAGCCTAATTTATAAAAATTTTAGAAAAATATATTTTAATCTAGAAGGTTATTACTTAATCTACTAAATATTTAGAAGGCCCTAAAATAATAGCTTAAATAGTAGTAAAAGATTACTTTAGGGTAAATATAGTAACTAATATTAGAGTAAATAGGGAACTTAAAGTTAGAGAATAAACTATAAAAGAAGAAGTTACTAAAAAGAATAAAATAAAAATAAAAAAAAATTTTCTTAAAATTATTAATAAAAAAATAACTATAAGAAAAATTAAAACTTTTATTAGAATTAGAGAGTTTAAAATAGAGAAATTTATTTTAATTATAGACTTTATAAAGATTAAATAAAAAATTAAAATAAATAAAATTTAACTTAAAGCTATTAAAATTAAAGCTAGATTTTAAAATAAAAAATATATTATTTTAATTTATAGAATTAAAGTAAAATTTATAAAAAATAAAAATTAAATAAAAGTAACTCTCAAGCTTCTATAATAGAATCTAAATTTTAAAAAAAAATCACTATTTTAAAAGTATACTAGAATAAAAAAACCCTTTTATAGAGAAAGAAATTTAAATCTCTTCTCTTAGATTTAGCTAAATTTAAAGAAATAAACTTTTTAATAAAGGAGAGAATCTTCTATAAAAATAAACTATATTTAGTTAAATTTTTTATTTTTAAATACTAGATTAGATATTACTATAAATACTTGAAATATAGCTATACTTAATAGAATTATAAAAATATTAAAATCTATAAATAATATAATAAAATAAATTATTATATATAAGTTTATACTCTATATAGAAAAATTAATATAGCTAAATATATAAATTATTTAAAATTATATTAAATAAATAATAAAGTTTACTAATACTATCTCTATAAAATTAAAAGAACTATTAAAATTAAAGTTATAAAATTTATTATTTTTAAAATATATAAACTAGAACTAGCTCTAAAGCTAAAGTTATTAATTTCCTCTTTTAAAAAAAGAACTAATAGCCTCCTAGTAATAATATCTATAGATAGCTATAATAAAACTACCTAAATATAGATAAAAAAGGAATATAGTAAATCTATTACTATAACTATATTAAAGAAGAAAAATTAGTCTATTATAGAGCTACTACTATTATAATAATTAATTTAAGAAAAATTTACTACTCTATTATTTTAATAATAAAAATATTATAATATAATATATATAAGAGATAAAATACTATAAAGTTATTAATAAAATATTTAGAAGTTAGAGATCTAAATATAATTATTATTTAGAAACTATAGTTAAACTTTTATATATATACTACTATTTACCTCTTTTATTTCTTTTTTTACCCCCTCTACTTAATAGATAGATACTTAAAAATATACTTCCTAATTAATAAAGCTCTTCCCCTCT